GAAGCGAACCTACGTTCAGGTCACGGGATTCGCTATTCTCATGATTGGCATGTTTTTGTACAACAATGTCCTCATCCGTCCCTTCCTTATCAAAAGGGGGTTCATTCGCGGCGAAGAGCCCGACGCCAGTGATATCCGACCCATACTTCGCGCCGAAGAGAACGAAACGGCAGTCAATCCCACAATGAATGACGTGAGAGTCAGTTGATGGGAGGGAGAGAGAGAGAGAGTCACACAAACGTTTAGTTAATCCTCTTTCACCATTGCTTTGATTATTGCTTTTTATAATTGAAACGAGTTTTGATTTCAAAATTATTTACTATTAAATGATCATAATTACATTTATTATATTTTAATTATATATTATATTTATGAAAAATTATTAATTGTATATATAATAAATCAATTGTTATTTCAACACTTGTAACTATTTTATACTCATATTTTCAGTACAACTATTTAATACTCAATTAATTATCTAAATAATAATTTTTAGTGAATAAATTAATAAATTTATACAGACATCGACGCGAACCAAACCAAACCCTAAACTTAAAAAATAACGGTAAATACATTAAATAATGAACTTTATTCAAAAACTACTGTCATAACATCTCTCGCCTTTAAATTCACATTTGTTTAAATACAATTCATTTTCAAGAGTCTTAACTAACACTTAACAAAACTCAATTAAATTACAAACTAAAGTTAGATTATAATGTTAAGACTGACAATTGTTATGAAATTATTGTGTGACTGTTAACTCGTTTATATTTTATATGAATTGTTTATAAATGTAGTTCCTATCAATGGGTAGCCATAGATTTAACATGAGTCCCTAGGATAAGCATTAGTTCCATAGAGATAAAGTTAGTCCTTAGGATTATTATTGCCATAGAATTAGAATTGCCCACGGACATAACGATTCTATAAACCACATTATTGAATGCTGAATTGTGGTTAAAATTGTTTGAATTAAGTGATTCCGTCATATGGTTTGATTGCTGGTCAAATCGATGGCATTAAACGCTTTACTCCATGTATTGGAGAGGTTTTTAATGCATAATGTATTTAATAATTACTTAATTTAAAATACAATGAAAGACTTATATCACTAAATATTTCTTCACTTCAAACTCGACGGTAATTAAATGCATTGAAAATTGTTTTTAAGTGTTTATATGATTTCAATGAAATGCCAGAGAATTGGAAATTTATGTACAAAATATGGGATAACAAGAGAAAATGGAAATTTCATTCTTAAACCAAATTCAAGAATAAGATTTTGTGACAAAAAATTTTTCATTTATTCTATCGATTTATTCAACAAATTACCCAAACATATAAGAAATGAAACAATTTTTACAAATTGTAAAGCATTTTATTTGTAGTGCATTTGCAAACATTTTAAAACCATTTTTCTTAATTTAATTTGTATTTTAAAATGTAAATGCACAAATCAATGTTTAAATCAATTATTCAACAAGTTTGTTTAATAAAACTAGTACGGTATTATTATTAATATTGTATTTATGGAAACCTTTGTAACTAGAAACTTTCTGTGACCGAATCACTCATAAAGTACCTATTATTACAAAATTACAAAACAAGAATCCATGTATTCTTGAGCCCAAATCCATTACTGTTTTCTCAAACCCAATACTTTTACTATATCTCCAGTATTTGAACTTTTTGCCAAACTATAAAATATGTACATTTTATTATGATTTATGACTAAATATCATATTATGATAAAAATAAATGCAAAAATGTTAATCAGATTTAAATCCAATCCAATTAAATCCAATTTAAACTCAATCTAATTCTCTGGCATTAGTAACTATAGTATATTTGTGAATTTTTGTTAAAAGTTACGTAAATTAACGGCAGCTCAAACTTCACTTCTTTATAAATCACTATATTCAGAAAGTAATATAAAATTTAATTCATTAATAATTTATGGTTATGTATTAAAAGGTGTGCGATATACACGACGAGCTGACCCGAGTCCGACTGCATATATATTACTGGTAATAATAATTACAGATTTTAATAAGTTTTCTTGAGAACATGGTCACATGGAAGAATATTCTTATTTAGAGTTACAAATCCTGGTTGTTGCTATGATTACAACCATTAACCCGGATTAACCATGGTCAATAAAATTTTAAATTTTGTTCTTCTTAGAAAGTGTTATTAGACATTAATGCGGGTTAAAAGTGGACCGTAGGGTCAAAATGTGGAATTGACTAGAAATGACGGAATAGTAGACAAAATTCTAATCGTTTGCATAGCGTTTAAAGTATTGTACAATTATTATTAGTTATCAGACAATAGTTTAGAGCAGTTGTCGTGATATCAAGTATAATGAGAATCAAATGCAAACACAACTAAACACAAGCGGCCAATCGGGTTGACTACCAATAATAGTGTGGTTGCAGTTCTGGTTCATTGATATCATATAAACACTTAAAAACAATTTTCAATGCATTTAATTGCCGTCGAGTTTGAAGTGAAGAAATATTTAGTGATATAAGTCTTTCATTATATTTTAAATTAAGTAATTATTAAATACATTATGTATTAAAAGGTGTGTGATATACACGACGAGCTGACCCGAGTCCGACTGCATATATTACTGGTAATAATAATTACAGATCTTAATAAGTTTTCTTGAGAACATGGTCACATGGTAGAATATTCTTATTTAGAGTTACAAATCCTGGTTGTTGCTATGATTACAACCATTAACCCGGATTAACCATGGTCAATAAAATTTTAAATTTTGTTCTTCTTAGAAAGTGTTGACATTAATGCGGGTTAAAAGTGAACCGTAGGATCAAATGTGCAATTGACTAGAAATGACGGAATAGTAGACAAAATTCTAATCGTTTGCATAGCGTTTAAAGTATTGTACAATTATTAGTAGTTATCAGACAATAGTTTAGAGCAGTTGTCGTGATATCAAGTATAATGAGAATCAAATGCAAACACAACTAAACACAAGCGGCCAATCGGGTTGACTACCAATAATAGTGTGGTTGCAGTTCTGGTAGTCGTCAGAGTTGACCACAAATAACATATTCTCATATAATAAACATTTCGGAATTTCACATATTTACTAAATAAATCACTAATTTATGTAATTTAAACTAAATTAACCACTATTATCAAAAAGTTAATTATTTGAATACTTAACAGAATATTTAATTTGTCGTAAATTGGTTTTAATGTTTTACACCATTCGGCGCTCAAAGGGAATCATTTTGCGACCGAAAAGATAATTACAAAATCGCGACAATTAGTCGACTGCAAGAAAGAGGACGGCTTTGCGGCACTCCATTTGGCCGCTCTTAACGGTCACTTCCAGATCGTTGAGACGCTTATAATTCAAGGACAGGCGGACATTGATATACAAAACAATCGAAAGCAAACACCTTTGATGTTAGCGGTCGGTCAGTCTCACTGCTCTATCATTGAGCTATTGGTCCGATTGGGCGCTAACGTAGACATTGTTAATGAGGACAACGACAGCGGTCTTCACTTAGCACTCGCTAAATGTCGCGAACCACTCAAAGCTGATACTGTGGTCACAAATTCTGCTGTCATCCCAGAGGTAATGATTACATGGGTTTTTAGATGAATACAAAATGTTTATTAATTTATATTTATTTCTGCGATTATAAAGATTCTGAAAAAACTGTCGGCTATTGATTTCGGACAAAACATAAACCTATCGATTGCTTGTTTCCTAATACAAGAGGGAAATGCAGACATCACTCTCAAGAATAGGAGAGGAAAGACAGCGCTCGATATGTTAGAAATGCCCAAACAGTCGGACAGTCAGTCGAATACAAATACACCGAATTATAATGTGGCCAAAGATTTTATATTAAGTTTAGTCGATCGCCGCAAGAGTCGAGTGAAGACACCCCGTGGAAGAGCAGCAGTGTCTGTGAGCACAGCCTCTGATAATGTCATTAATGTTAATCAATCGGATAACGACTCGACTCACACACAAGCGGTTAATAATAGCAGTGAGAATGACATCAATACCAGTACAACGAGTGAATGCATTTTATGCAACGATTTGTTGGCAACCGTTGTATTTAAACCATGCGGTCATTTAGTGGTCTGTGACTTATGCTCCATAAGAATTAAACGGTGTGTTGAATGTCACCAAACAATTGATGCCAAAATAGTTAAGAAAACGAATCGACAATTAATTGAGTCTAATATCAGCGACGAATCACTTGTGGCCAAAGCGTCCAATAATAGCAAAAATAGCATTAAAAGTAACAATAGTTCAAACAGTAGTAATAGTAATAACAGTAATATTAAGCAAAATATTGATAACCATAACAATAATAGTAATAATAATAAACAAAACGAACCGAAAGTTAGTGTCGAAAGACTTAAGTATTTGGAGTCAAAGATCGCTGAGATTGAAGAAGCGAACAGTTGTACGATTTGTATGATTCCCTACACACACAACGGTGTCTTCCGAATGGCCTTTCTTTGCGGTCATTCGGCGTGTTTTAATTGCGCCCAAACTCTCAAAACATGTCATATGTGTAGGAAAACGATTACCAGAAAAATTAATCTCTATTAACAATAATGTTTCCCATTTTTAGACACAATTTTCAATCATATTTTTCTCATTATTGTTATCACTATTATATGATATTACTATCGAATTACTAGTAATTAATATTATTTGTTTTTTAAAATCATATTTTATTTAAATTTATATTACATTTGATCTTTTCTCAAATGACTTAATATTCTGTATAATAGACTCAAAAATAAGTTGTTTTATGGTTGACACATATATATATACACGAGATATTGGGTTAAATTATTTACAATATTTATAATGAAATGCAATTTAACTTTATTTTATAGGATATGCACTTTACTATTGAATCCACATATTTAATCTCAATTATAATTAGACTAATTTATATTTAAATGTACAGACAATGCGTTTAATAGCTCAACATTTATCAAATTTATTTAAAACTAAATAATTATAATTTTATGTCATATTTATTTTTAGATTATGTACAAATAATTTATATTTAAATTTAATTTAAACATAAGAGACAAATATCTCAATGTGTGTGTATTGAAGAAGTTGTGGTCGTATTTAATATCATTTCCATCCAAAATATTTATTTTTGAGTCGAAAATATAATTTAGAAAATTTGTAATATAAATATCTGACAATAATTGTATATATAATTGCATCTCAAGTATTACACAATTAACTAATTATCAAACTTTTTAATTAGTCATTATTTAAATTAAACTTTATATTTCTGACATTTATAATAGAGTTTATAATATATGAAAACACTGGTAATTGTGTTGCATTTGGTTTTGTTTAATCATTTATATGTTGAACTATTTTTGTTCAAATTAATGTTTAAATGTATATTTCAATCAATCGTGTCATCCATTTGTTTGAAATTTTATATATTATTAAATTGTAACACATTTTTTTGCTAACATTTTAGTACGAGATTTACTTAACAATTAATTGTTTGCAAAACCAATTAATGCTAAACATATCATCATATCATGTAATGATTGGTTTTTCTCAAATAAATGGTTAAATTCTTTGAAAATTGTCTTTAATTAATACAAACTTTCAATTTTGGTAACATTTTATTGATAATTGTGACTAAAGTTAGCAATAATATGATTAATAATATGATTAAATCATAATTATGTTATTTGATAGCAAAAAGTTTGCATACATTTGCTGTGAATCACAGAATGGTATGTAGTGTTTGAATGGACCCATACTTGTTATCATGTCATCTGTTTTTGTTGTCTCTCTTTAAACATCACAACAAATATTTGTTTTGTTTATTAAAACATTTCCTTAATTTTGGTCTTAAATCACGAGTCGATCGACAGATTAGATATCAATCGACGGAAGGCTTTGTTTGAATGCTTTTCGCATTTTGTGGTCATTTTTTGGGGCGTTTTTCAAAACTTTTTGCTCACGTTTTGCAACAAAATAATTGTTTGAATCAAACATTTGATGCCATTATTGACTGTTATTGTTATCGGTTTTGTATACAACAGTAGTAACTGTCACTCAATACAACTGATCCAATAGTAATCCATTGCAAACACACACAAAGAGGTCCATCCATGGCGTGGACTAACTATCAGATATTTTTGGCTCTTCTTATGGTCATCACCGGATCCATCAATACGTTGGCCACAAAGTAAGCAAACACTTGAGTAAAGGATGTATTGATTGAATGGTTGGATGTGTTGAACAGATGGGCGGATATCACAAAGTCTATGGGAAAAGACGGCACTTATCGGCACTTCAATCACCCGTTCGTTCAGGCGGTGGCCATGTTTTTGGGCGAATTGACGTGTCTTTTGGCGTATAAAGCGATGTATTTTTATTACAAACAGAAAGACTATACCGAAGACCAGTATCCGACGGCCATCGCCGGCAGCCGTACATTCAATCCCATGATTTTCCTGCCGCCGGCGTTGTGTGATATGACGGCCACATCGTTGATGTACATCGGCCTCAACCTGACCTATGCCTCCAGTTTCCAGATGTTGAGGGGAGCGCTCATTATCTTCACCGGCCTTTTGTCCGTCGCTTTCCTTCACAGACAACTCAAGCCATACGAATGGTTGGGAATATTGTTTGTGATGTGCGGCCTCTCTATCGTCGGTCTGTTCATACATTTGTTTACTAAACTGAACACCACTTTCACACTCAATGTATTGTTTGATTTCAGGCACAAGTGATTTGGTGTTTGGTTCAAACGATGCCTCGTCTAGAGGTCCCAACTCTGTCATCGCTGGTAAACCAATTTGATATTTGAATTCATTATTTGGCACTAATTGTATTGAATATATCGAAAGGCGATCTCTTGATAATAATTGCACAAATCATTGCCGCCTCACAAATGGTTATCGAAGAGAAGTATGTTTCCGGCAATAATGTGTCGCCTCTTCAGGCGGTCGGTTGGGAGGGACTGTTCGGAGTGATAATCCTCTCAGTCCTATTGGTTCCCATGTATTTCATACCGACGGGTCATCTCATATTTGACAATCCAGACGGACAAATGGAGGACGCGATCGACGGCTATCACCAAATCAAAAACTCATGGCAGGTGGCGGTCGCCCTCTGCGGTCAGTACTTGTCTTAGTTGTCACTTATAGGCAATGAATTAATGAAATGAATCCCTTTTAGGCACAATCGTGAGCATATCGTTCTTCAACTTCGCCGGCATTAGTGTCACGAAAGCAATGTCTGCCACCACTCGAACGGTGTTGGACTCGATCCGCACTTTTGTGATCTGGATATTCAGTCTTGTGATTGGATGGGAAAAGCTATCGAAGCGAACCTACGTTCAGGTCACCGGATTCGCTATTCTCATGATTGGCATGTTTTTGTACAACAATGTCCTCATCCGTCCCTTCCTTATCAAAAGGGGTTTCATTCGCGGCGAAGAGCCCGACGCCAGTGATATCCGACCCATACTTCGCGCCGAAGAGAACGAAACGGCAGTCAATCCCACAATGAATGACGTGAGAGTCAGTTGATGGGAGAGAGAGAGAGAGAGAGTCACACAAACGTTTAGCTAATCCTCTTTCACCATTGCTTTGATTATTGCTTTTTATAATTGAAACGAGTTTTGATTTCAAAATTATTTACTATTAAATGATCATAATTTACATTTTATTATATATTATATTTATGAAAAATTATTAATTGTATATATAATAAATCAATTGTTATTTCAACACTTGTAACTATTTTGAATATATAAGTTAATAAAATTATACTCATATTTTTAGTACAACTATTTAATACTCAATTAATTATCTAAATAATAATTTTTAGTGAAAAATTTAATGGATCTATACATACATCGACGCGAACCAAACCAAACCCTAAACTTAAACAAGGATCACACAGCGATGCTATACGTTAACCACTATTCAGCATTAAATAA